GAACTGCTGGGGGTGGAGGTCCGGTTCTTGTCTTTGGGTGACATGTGTTTTTTAGTGTTTTGCCTTGTAAGGGAAGCTGCTCACTGCTGTTTTCGTGGGGAACAAGATACATCGAACCCATGTGAGCAGAGGAAACAATTACGCTCGGAAGACTCACATATATGACAAACTAGGCAGCACCGACCACCCATGACCACCCGGTAAGAGAAACTCATTCACAGGCCATCAGCCATGTTTTTTCTTTGGACGCCACCGACGATCACGTTGTCTATCATTGTCGGTGAAGAAAACCAATTGGATTTGGGTCGACAATATACCTAGACGACCATTCGTATGAGAAATTCTTGTACCTAGGCCTATCGTAGCATCTCTTGAGAATTCGTAGCATAAATCCTCAGATCGACTAAATTTATGGAAATCGAGTGTTTTTTGCAAATCGACTGGATTTTGGCCGGCCAAAGCAGCTGTTGGGGATCAAGCAGCTGCATGAGCTTGACAAAGTCAAGCTTCTTTGGCATACAGGGGTCATTGTGCGCCCCTGTTTGATTGTGCATTGCAATTCCAACCCGCACCAAACTGAAAGACCCTATGGATTACCAACCCCAGCCCAAACTACAACCCAAACCATTGTGTGTCTTTTCCAGGTATGCACTGGCCACGTCTTCAAAGATGTCGGCGTTGAGGCCTGGGCACATCGGTCGCTTCAAGGGCATGTGCCTGTTTGGACTTTAGTCTTGAAGACGCGTGCTTCCCTTAGCACACCTGGCCCAAGCTTAGCTTTGCGCGGCATAGCTGGAGCAATGGTGGTTGTGGAAGGGACCGAGGGTGTGGCTCAATGTCCGGTCATGACAGAGTGGCTGAACATGGAGGAGGTGGTCAAACGCGGGACCAAGGGACACATTGCGTTGTGCACAACGGAGTCGCTCACCCGATCAACAGTCGCAGACAACCACGAACTCTTGATTCCACTCATAAAGCATTTTGGCACCTTGTCAGCCAAGAAAATGACGTTGCAAGAAAACCCCAGTTGTATATGCAGGTTGATCCTAACACCGCCACCTTCGCCTAGGTATGCGTCCATCCCTGGCCAGCTTGGAAGACCTGACTGGAAGATTTCTCTACTTCTGCCGACCTCGTGGTAAGCCCGCCCCCAAGAGTCACAAACTTAGATAGATCGAGGTTAGTATCGAGGTTCATTTGACCAATAAAAACACGTCGCATCAATTCTCCTTGCTGCAAAGGTGATGAAGTAAAAACTGAAGCCTGGGTGCTTCGGAATTTGGTTTCTATAGTGGCTTCTGCAGCTAGAAGGCCACACACACCCCGTAGTCCAGAACTCCGGGATGTGTTCCAAAGCATTGGGATTCCAATGGGCAGCTCAAGCTCAGTCAATGTAGAAGAGGGAGCTTTAGATGCATATGTTGCAATTGTTTTGGTTTAAGGTCTAGCTTCTATCTTCTATGCCTACACTATGTGTTTCAAGACCTCCCCCACAGCCAAGGAGCGGTGGATGACGAGGTTGCTGAAGAAGGAGTAGAATGTGGAGAATCTGAAGCGGGGACGGAGGATGAGTGTGTTGAGGCTGGCAACATGTGTTTGTCTCATTTCTAGCAGCTGTAAGCAACCTCTGGTCCAAGCAGTAACTCGCTAGGAGGCTGATCTGAAAGAGCGGCCCCCCACCAATCCAGCATGACCCTTTCTTGCAGTATGACTACTTTAAATCGTGGCAATCTCTACATGCAAACGTGTTCGCGTAAAATTGATTCATGCATTTGGTCATCGATATCCAAGGTGTTGGCGAGAACCCTGCCCCGCCTTCCCTTCCGCGAGCTCAATCAGCTGTAGAACTGGTCACCCCACCACCTCGGAGCTCCCAAGATGCAGTTGATCAGTTTTGTTCAACTTTAGGTCAATTGCAACCAACTCTTTGAAGGAGACCTAATTGGACCAAGGATTGAACTTCTCTCCTGCGACCGAACCCAAGGAGTCCCCACCGCACGTCCTGATGAAGTGTGGGTACATGTGCAAGAATTGCAAAGCGACCCATATTCAACCGGACAAGATTCTTGAGAAGCCTTGTGAGGCAATTGGTAATGACGGGTTTCACGCACTCTTGAAAAGAGCTGTGATGTGTCAACACTGCGATGCACTGAGCGATTGCCCATCCACCTTTGCCCAGGAACCTTGCCCAGGACTTGCAAACAAACTTGAGCTAGGTGGACCTCCTTCAAACCCCCTGCCCAAGACCAAGCCCGCGACCGAGAAGGTGCCCGCAGGATCAGCTCCGTCGATGCCTGCGGCCAAGCGGGCGAAGTTGGACATGGAGTTGATGCTGGCCGAGAAGGAGATGGCTCGTCTAGTCGTTCTCAAAGGTCTACAGACCGAACGCTTGGAGATGCAGAGGCTTCTAGCACTCAAACACCAAGCAAAGACTGGTGAGAATGGCACCGTAGCTGCACTTGTAAGAACAACTTTGCATCCTCCAAAATTAAACAACCTGCGCTGCATGATTAAGACTTGATAGCATGCTGGAAGCCGCCAAGGTGTTGACAACGTCGAGACCCAACCCATGGCACCCGCAGAAGCTGCCGCCTACGCTAGCGTGTTGGCATCTTGCCCGGCACCGTCTCAGGTTGACAAGTCTCCCGTTTTTCACGCCTCCGGTGAAGATGGCGCAATTCCTGTCAACGCAGAGGCGAGTGGAAACTCACATGGTCCTTGAACACAAATGCACAGGCTAGGAATTGCTCACGTTATACCGGGTATATATACAGTACATATGCATGCATGCGCAATTGGATCACGCAAGGTATGTGGATGCGGTCTTCATAGTGCCACCCGTGCAGGTATCAGCCAACAGTGGTGCTGATGGGGCTGGAGATTCTTTGTCGCCTACACCGCCCACAGAACCTGTGTCTGAGGACATTCCTACGGAACCTGTGTCTGGGGACATTCCCGAAGCTGTCTTGCCCAGTGATCCTAGTGTTGTTGTGAAACCTTCACTTAACGACAATGACCAGCATGCAAAGAGACCTGCAGCAGTTGATGCGGAACCATGCATCTCCCCATCCGAGCAAGCCAAGCTGGCCGGCAAATCCGAGTCCAAAAAAAGGGGACGTCCTCCAAAGAATGGGGGTCAGGCAAAGGCAAAGGCAAAGGCAGACAAGAAGGGAAAGACAGACACGAAGGCAAAGACAGACAAGAAGGCAAAGACAGACAAGAACGGAAAGACAGACAAGAAGGAAAAGACAGACAAGAAGGCAAAGAGAGACAAGAAGGTGAAGAACACCAAGCCTTCAACATCTGCCAAAGACAAGGCGAAAGGTTCAAAGGCAGATGACAGTGAAGCCTCTGTCAAAGAGTCGAAGCCGGCTAAGAAGTGCAAGGTTGAGGTAGGCGAGGACGATGCAGCCCAGGATGAACATGCACCTGTCGAAGAACCCAGCCCTGAGGTGAAGGCAGAGACCAAAGATAAGAAGAAGGCAAAGAAACCACCCAACCCAAAGAAGGGGACCAAGGAGAGTGCAAAGAACGACACCAAAAAGCAGGAGCAAAAGGCAAAGAACGCAAGGAAATCCAAGGCTTACCGGAGGGCCCACAAGGCTGCCAAGGATCAAGGCCTGAGCGAGGAGGAATGCGCAGAGGCAGGTAGAAAAGTACCCTAGCTTGTAAAAAGGCAACGCGTTGTCTTTTGCATTTTGGCTTAACTTGTTTTTGGAATGTTTTGGGAACAGGTTTCATGCGTTATACTTGTTCTTGGCACGCAGCGGCATTTGAGGCATATGCTGAGACCGAGTGATGCATCCTGTGAGCGCTGAGCTTCAGCATTTTATATAGGGCCGTTTTCGTGAGCACCTCTGCAAAGCCAAGTGTTTGACCGAGCCAAGGTTTCTCTTCATTGACGTTTAATATGTTCAAACAAAACATGTTCAAACTAATAGCCAACTGCCGGGGTTCATTGTTGCAGTTTGGCTCATTGGGGATGGGGCACGTGAAAGGTCATGATTATGACTTAGAACACGTGCAGTTCGTGATGTATTCAAGTCCTGGACTGGTCCATGCAAAAGCTTAGGATTGACAGGCTTGCGGTGGAAACCAGGATTTGGAGGGGAAAATGTGCGGTATGCACGTGCATCGCTTTGTCGAGATCATGGCAGTTTTGTTGAGACATGAATTCCACGAGCGCTGAATAGGGCCTAGGGTAGGGCAGCACGCTGTTTTGCATCAGTCTGACAGCTTTGCACTGAAGTTCCGCGGTTCTGTGGCAGTTTGTTTGCGTGTTTATTTGTTTTTGCTGCCGGCCAATCCGTGCCAGGCCTTGAGATGGCCTGGAAGATCAGAGCCAGGATCAAAGGTGCCTCCCTGTCCCAGCCCATATCATCGCATTAAGTTTTGCAAGTCTTGAAGTGCACCAGCCAGCAAATCTTGCATACGCACGTCTTGGAAGCATTTTAGCCAGAAAGCCTTGGAGCAATTTTCTTGGCCAAGCTTTGTGGGATAGAGTCCAGAGAGCTATGTTAGACCGCTCCATTGTTCGATCTTTGTTGCAAGTTCGCGCGCCCAAAGTGTGGATCTTATGTTCGGCACTTTTTGTTTATCCAACACCATTCCACTGAGCGGTCTTGATAGGGTGTGGGGGGGGTGGCGCTGGCGCATTAAGGTCTTTGTGGCGCTGGTGGGGGTCCTCATTCTGTCAGTCAGTGCTAACTACAGGATTTGGAAATTTTCCTAAGTAATGGACCTTGGATCTGAGGTGCTTCTTCTTACTTGGAACGAGCGCTTGACCTTTGACGATCCTGGGAGGAATTACCATTTCATCGAGGTATTTGCGGGGAAAGGTCGAGTTGCCAGAAAATGCACGACTCCTAGATCTTATTGCATCTATAGCTATATATATAGCGCTAGATAGTTTGGTAGTCTCGCGAGCGGTGTGTGTGTGTGTGAGGCACGAACTGGGTTGGCGTACAGCATCCATCGATATTGATTACAGCCGCAAGCATATGGACTTCCTCGGCGTAAACGGGTTCTTGCTTCTTGACCCATTTGTGTGTCTTTGCCTTTCAGCCTGCTTATCCGCTCAGCCTCTGCTTCAGGTTGACCCTCTGCACCATCCTCAACCAGGAGATCCATGGTTTGTCGCTGTGGGCCCCTGATTGTGGGTCATGGGGCATTCCCGCACGATCCACATCAGGGCGAAGTTACATGAATCCCTTAGGCCACCATGCATACAAGTTTGTCTCAAGGGCCAATACCATGGTCAGCAGGTTGCTAGCCATGCAAGTATGTGGTTTCGAGAGTGCCGCGCAGTCATGAAAAGAGCTATATATTGTTTTAGCGTTCACATGGCCTCTTGACTAAGGCTTGTTCTTTGCCTCATGCTTTGTTTGAGCCGGAATTTGAAGTTCCTGGTCGAACAACCTCATCAATCCCTACTTTATATGCACAATCGGTGGCAATACCTGGCAAACCGGGTTGCGTGGGCTCCTTTTTTTCAATAGTCGTGAAAAAAGAATCACATGTACATCTCGCCCCAAGCAATCAATATAACCGCCCTCTACTTGCAGGTGTTCCAGACCTTCTTTTGGATGCAGTTGCATGGAGGCTCATCACCGAAGAGGACGGTGTTTATGGGGAATGTCAGGAGCATTGACCGTCTCAATAAGGGCAAGCTCACAAAATCAGTCCGGACAAAGAAAACAAAGATTAAGACAACTCGTAGCTTGTCAAGATACTCAAGATACATTCACCGTGCGCTTTTGCCCATCTGTTCTTTTTTGCCAGCCGTTTTTTTGAAAGGGGTCCGCGGTAAGGTAAGTACATTGACAAGAGCGGCCAGCGTAGATTTGTTGGTGACAAGAAGCAGCTCAAGGCTACTCAGTCGCTTGGCTTTTGAGAAGATGCCCCAATTGAAACATGTGACCCAATCCCATGTGCACGTATGGCAGCAAAAGCCCAGCTCACCAATGAGCCTCCTGTTCCACATTCCCACCAAGGGCTTATCCCAGCGGTCTGGGTGAGAGCATCCACGAGATGTATCAAGAAGAGCTCACGCGTCATCCCCGCGGCGACTTGCGATTCCGGATTGTGCCAGATCCAGAGAAGACTGATCTTGAGCTTTTCTTGAACATGGAGCTCGCGGACACCTGGCCTGATGCTGACCTGAAAGACACCTTCGATTTCCTCATGGGTTGCAAGCACACCAGGACATGCAATTTAGCTAACGCTGAAAGTGAGAAACCTCAGAAACCCGACTATGTGACAGGTCCCCTGTTCATGCAAAGGAATTCATCCCTCTCCCCTCCCTCCCTGGGTTCGTTTCTGGCTTTCGGTGCCACCTGCCCGAAGGATTCCAAGTGAATGGAAAGGTGTCATGCAGAAATTTGGAGACGATTGGGTGGCTAGTCTGAACCACGCAGCCAAAATACCACCTGTTCATTACACGCAGTCATGCGTCATCCCACTTGAGGCGATGGCAGATGCAAGCCGCACGGAGCCCGATGTGATTTATATAGAATGAATCGGAAATATCGGATGAAATTCGGAATTCGGAGAGATCATATGAGATCGGAACACTTTTGAGCAGGGAAAATCGGAAAAAGCAAAGCGCAATTCGAGCGCAATTATCCGCAATTCGACCGCAATTTTCCACAATTCGGCGCAATTTTAAAAATCTAGTACGATTGTCCGATTTTGGACCTTAACATGACCTTTCTAGATCGGCAAGCCACTCTTTGAGCAGGGTTTTGCATTTGCAGTATCAAGATCGGAGGGTCATGTCGGGTGGCTGGTCGTGCAACACACTGGTGAGTGGCACAAATCTTTTGGGCACCAACACTATGTCGGAGCAGCATACCCCTATGGACTTGGACATTGATGCGATGATTCGTGCAAATTGGATCAAATTGGTTTATATAACATGCATCAACAGTTGTATCATGCATGCACGCCATAGTTTCTGGGGCGTGCCGAGCCTACCTTCCTACCTAAGGCACAGCAAGAAAAGATTGATCTTCTCCGGTCCACGTTTTACGAGGCTGAGCCCACCCTTCCTCGCAAGGAGTCTTTTGTTGAGGGTGCCTTTGTTTAACTAAGTTGTTCGCGTACTCCCTCGCCATCTATCGATCTGAGATGTGTGGCCCAGGTGCCCCCATCATTGCCAAGAGCGAGGGCCACTTTCTCGCAGGTGGGAACGAGGGGAAAGAGACACGAACCGAGAACAGGAATGAGAAACCAGCTGAGACTGTGGAGGGAGGGAATGATGATAAGCCTGCAGCTGACACGAAGGAGGATACGCCTGACACGTCACGCCTTCCTACAAGGGTGTACGAAGTACAAAGCAGTCTTGAGTATACTGACGCTCAGCCCAGGGAGTGGCCATATGCTTCCCCAAAGTCTCTTAGCCCAAATGGGTTGATTCAACCAGGATCCTCTTCAGGAGTGGCAGCCACTTCTCCCGTGCCATCAAAGCCTTTGGGGCCAAAAGGTGTTCCAGCTCCGGTGGAGGGGAAAGAAAAGGCTGTTCCAGCAGCCCCTGCAGAGCCAACGACGACCGGGAGCGAGGCTCGAGATGCTACTTATTTCCGGATTCTTGGATGCGTATGGTTTGAGGCCCCATAATAAATTTAAAGAAATACATTGGCCTTAAAAATGAGAGGTTTGTTCAGGTTGCAAACGAGCTGCATCCACGTCCTTTCATATCCTTATATATCCACTTCTATGCAAGGATGAGGCGGTATTGCAAGTCCAAGAAGGCTTCAGCCGAGATTGCCAAGCTGTTCCAAACCCGGGAGGGGCGTACCTTACCTGCTAGCATGCGCGCGACTTGTGCGTTGTGCATTGATTAGGCCTCTTTTTGTTCCATCCATCCTGGGCCTTAAGGTGACAAGATCCGCGGGCTGCTGGAGTCGAATGGAATGGAGTTCCCATTGGTAGATCTGCAGGTGCAAAAGTTCTCAACTTCTTCGCATGAACAAAAGAGGGAAAGTGGGTAACTAAGCACTACCTGATGACTGCAGAACATTGGACAAAGAGACTCATTTGCAAACAATAATTAATATAGTCGACCTTATATATACACCTGCCATCTCATCTTTGAATTGAGGGGGGCATTGCTTAGGAAAATGGCGGACTCTGCTTTCGAGTGGGCCTCCGGTCGCGGCTTGGTACGGGTGAATCCCGTACATGGGGAGCAGGAGGCAAAATTGGTATTGGGTGACAGCTTCTGCTTTAAAGAAGAGACTGGAGTGAGTCGTACTGAACATGTTCGGATGGAGATTGAAGAGTTTTGTCGGCAGTTTAGGTTTCACAATGGTTCCTTTTGTCTTGTCATCTTGGAGGGAAAACATCACACATGTAAATGAATTAAAGACCAAAAATGCAGTTCACGAGAACTTCCCACACCCTTCTGAATCTAGCTGCCCGCATTCACACGTCAATGCGCTCAAGGATGAGAGCGGCGGGATTTTCCAAGAGAACCTCCCACCCCTGAACTCCGGCGTCGAATCGCTCCTTCAGCTTGGAGAAGATGCCAATAGGGAAGGTGAAGATGTTGCGCTGCAAAGCTCGGGCTCGTTCAAGCTGCCTAGCTTGGGCGTTTGGTGTGAGAATGCATGTCTCACGCTAAACCAACAATCGTTCAATGTTTAAGCGCCAAAGCTAGCAACTAGCCATTGCCCAGGTTAGTGTTCCCTGCAGTGCAAGAGAACAGCTCGGCCATGGCCGTGCTGCCTCAATTTCTTCAAGTTTGTGGGCGGAAACTTGATTCTACATCAACCGTACTGGACTGGCTTACCCCTGACCCCAAGCAGTCCATGCTTAGCTGGCTCAGCTGAATAAGACTTCCAAGACCCTCGCCGGCAGGACAAGCTGAAGAAAGTCGATTCGCTTCAAGCCAAGGAGTCTTTGGCCTCAGGGAAGCGCGAGCATGAACCTACACACACACACACACCTCATTTTTGTGTGGGATCTACAAGGCATGCCAACCAGATTTCGATCCAATTGAACACCATGAAGAAGCTCTACGACGGCCTTGAGACTCTTCAGAAAGAGCTGGCAGTCAACCGATCTACCACGCAACTTGCCTATGTTCTAAAAAAGTGGCATCAAGAAAGGACACTCCGTTGAACAGCTCATTAATTAGGCCTGAACAGCAGAAGGAAATGCTGAAGCTTTGCGCTTCTTGCACTCGGGTGGACGTGGCGCTCAACAACTTGGTCGTGCGTGCAAGGACCCCGGCCCAGCACCACTCCGCTGTTTCCATCCTTGACCTGCGCAGGACGATCAAGGCAGTGAAGGGCGTTTCTGGGGGGAAGGCAAAAGCCACTTCCTCTCGCTCGCCCAAAGGGCCAGGCGGCAACAATTCAGGGAAGACCAAACCTGCAAGAAAGGTGACAAAGCCCAAGAAGGCAGGGAAGGCCAAGCCTAAGGCTAAGGCTGCGGAGACCGAGAAATAGATTTGACCCAATATGGTGGTCAATGTTTTGAGTGTGGTCGATGACATCACACTTGGGGGCCATTGTGTTGCAACAGGCCATCAAGACATCCATCCATCAATCTCGATTTGCATTTTTCTGTGTGGGTTGAGGGCCTGTGCTTTGCAACATGGCAATATCGTTCCGATGTTGATCAACAATTTACCGTGAACAGGGGGTCAAAAAAGAAGGCGCCCATCCTCAAGAATCAAGGGGTTACGTATACCTTTGGTTCTATACAGTGCACATTGGCAATTTACAACTTTGTCGGGCCCTCGCAGGCCAATCCCGCGATGGCCTGTTTGCTTCACGTCTTGGAGACGGAGGCGAGCCGAAACGCTGCGCCCGCTCCAGAAATCCTCCCGGCTGCCTGTCAGGCTTCCTTGACAATGACGACGCAGACCTGGCTGATGAGCTGCTCTGTGGTTTCGAGGACGGAGCCGCGTGGCTTAAATTTAAACTTTGAGGGGGCATCATGCATGAGGTCACATTAGCTCGACGGGCATCTGCAATCATCTGTAGCTTAAAATGCACCGGAACCGCAGCTGAGGCAGAATCCGCTGCCAGAGTCGTCCGGCTGGCGACCGTGGCGAACAACCGGCTGAAGAAACATGGTGTCTGGTCCAAATGACGTTCAACAGAATCTGGTGTCAAAGAGAGGGGAATTGATGACTCAAGAAAAATACTAGACCAGCAAAAAATGCCCACACTGAATCCGTGTTGTGTCAGCATCTCTATAGGAACTTGCTGTGATGCATTTGCAAAGGTCATTTGCACATTTCTGTTTCAGGTCTCGCGGATCCACTGCTTTCGAGAATGGCCAAGTGTGGCAAGAACAAGCTGGACTCTCACGCGTGCAGGAACCTCCATAGAACAATCAAGGTCTTCAAGAAGGCCCTCCCGGTTGAGATTTCAAGAGTGCCTACGAAACTTCGGCTGTCGCGCAGGAGGCCACAGTTGGTCCACGTTATGCACCCAGTTCTACACCTATCTAGTTGGGCAGCAACCATTTTTGATCGTGGAGGTCATTTCTTCTTGCAGGGAAGAGATCTTAGCCAAGCTGAAGAGTTCTCGAGCGTCTTGAAAGACTTCTGGGGAAAGTTTATAGCTAGTCATCCGGAATTTGATCTACCTGAGTCCAAGTGGAACCATTCAATCCCCGTTTGCCTTCACGGGGATGAAGGCCGTGGAAAGGCAAAGCACCCAATTATGGTGATGAGCGTGCAACCCCTCCTTCCACTTCGCCCTGGCAAAACAAACATGGCAGGGACCTTCGATTGTTTGAAGTAGCTTTTGGTATTGGTTTGGTTGGGTCAGGTCAACTGCGAGAGATTCTGCCCCCGTCCCGTATGAGAGCCGAGGCCGACCATGTGCACGAGGCTCCTCTACACGGTCCTCCCAGCACCATACCCTCAAGCCTCTCTGTTTGATCTGCTTCGCGCTTGGGTTGTGGACCTGAACGAGATGAGTGAAAACGGCATCACTGCCACTTCACTCAACACAAACTTCAAACTTTATTTGTTCAAAATTAATGGCCGGCCAGACCACATGTCATGAATAGGGCTTGACCTGTTTAAGGGGCTGAGCGAGCTGCTCAGGTTTTGCATGGTGGCAAGGTGCTGAAGTACACGTTTACCGTGGTGAGCCTGAAGGGGGATTGGCCGTTTTTGCGATCCAGCATGGCATTGAACAACGGCTACAACTGTAAAGACAAGTGTCACAGGTGCAACTTAGGGCTGAAAGATTCTTTTCTAGATCAACAGGTTTTGAATTTCTCTTTGTTCTTTCGGAGGTGTTGGAGTTTAGGGTGGTGATGGTGGTGTAAGTGGTGGTGTATACATGTTTTGACACCTTCTTAAAAGCCTTCGAGGAATGGTGGGATCTAAAGGGAGCGGTGAAGCGCTTGCGGCCGTATGATGTCAATCCAAAGCCGTTCAAAGCCGAGCGCTCGCCACTTCGTGATCTAGCTATACTCGAGAACCCAAAATTCATCAGAATAGATCCTGCTCACACTTTCGCCATTGACGGAGTGGGAAAGAACTTTGCAGGCACCGCCATACTTCTCCTCATGCATATGGGATGGTTCGGGGGAGGCAATACAGACTATAAGTTTCAGTACGCCTATTCGCGCTTTATGGCATATTGCGACGCACGTCAAAAAAGCACAAGCATCTATGAATTCAGCTACAAAACCCTCAAGTTGCCCATTGGTTCGCTACTGGCTTGCACAGGTAAAGCTTTAAACAGGCAAATAGTTTTGTGCTATAGGACATGCAACTGTGAACCTAGAGCAACAAGACTTTCTCTGGACCCGGCCACAAGGCTACGCGGCACACCACGTGGCCTTGGAAAGGGACACGACTGCGCCATCGTCACGGCCTGGTTGGACGAGGAGCTCCAGCAAATGGACTTGGAGTCAGTGGTTCCGGGGTTGTTTTGGTAAGGTGTTGCATCTATTTGGTTTTAGTAGCTTTGAAAACCAGATTGCCATGAACACATTTTTGGATGAGCGACAGGCAACCTGAGGCAGTTGAATTTCGTGATATCATGGAGGTCTTGGTGTGGGGTTGCAGTTCAATCAACCGTTTCTGGAGATGTATGTATGCAAATGGGGTCTGGCTTAATCGACTGCAAGTTGAAAACATGGTTCAAGACGGATGGGCGTTTGTCGATGCTTGGGCTTAAGTCATGTTTGGAAGAGGGTGCCCTTATGTCAGCCACAGTAGAGCCCTGGAGAATTCTGGAGATAGCTTTTACCGGAGACCCGCACCTGCCTCAATGACCCCTTTGTAAGCAAGGACGGGTACGCCACTCTTGCACGACAAAGCTGCAAATTTGGTATGGTCGGATGCCAAATCCGGCCAAAAGCCCATATGTTCTGCCACCTTCTGCACCATGACTGCACGTCAATTTTGTGTCTGTAGTAATTTGGGATTGTTGAACACGGATTGGACCAACAACCACTCCAAAACTGGTGTGATCCTGCTTTTCCCAAGGCTTGATCTTGAAGAGATGCTGTCGCTGGAATGCGAATGGGTTCTGAATCCGGCTACACACTGCACTTGGAGCGACGAAGACTTCATTGGCAGGGTGAGCAGGGTAAGTCGGAGAAGCCATGTGCTAACGTGTGCTCTCCACACAATCCAACGCTGCCTTGGGTTGTACCGCCGGCAGTGGATCAAAGAATTCCACCCAGCAGTCAAGCAGTGACAAACCAGGGCCCCGGCGAGAGTGAAAACGAAGAGGTCGAGGGATGTCGAGGGCATCAGCCGCGCTGTGTGCGCGTATGTGGGCATAGGATATACCAACCCAGCAATCCCAACTCCACCACAAATCGACCAATTTTTTGTGATTCGAGTGTTTTTCTTGAAACGGACCAAACTTCTGTGTTTCGTACTACTTTATTTTCGTACTAGGATTTTATATGTCACTTGGTCCTTTAGGTATAGACAATTTGTTTTCATGAAAACTGCGCACTTCGGTTGTCTGGCAGCTCTCCTTCTATTGTTTGGGTTGGAGGATCGGATGAACCGAACCAACATCAGAAGTGTCTGGTCGGTCCCAAGGCTCCGAGCCTCGGCCGTGCCGGGGCGCTCGGTGCGGTGCGGTGGAAAAGAGGCCGTTCCGTTCCGTAAGAACTGATGTTCAGTGATGAGTTAAGGTTAAGGTATGAGTCATGAGTTATGAGTTTGGAAGGTTAAGGTATGTGGTGAAGAGGAGAATTTGAAGCCCAAGTAAAAGGCCTCGGGTCCTTCAACTCTTTCGATCACGCACTGTTCAGACACCAGTCTCCACTTTGAGACAAGTTGGTGCCAATCATGTGAACGACTGATTTATTGAAGACATGAATTCTCGATGTGTCGCCTGAAAAGCGGCATGTGTCGGCTAAACCCCTATGAGGCCCCAACTTACGACTTCTTTTCCGCCGAGTCCAGCGCCGCCCCTGCGGCCACCTGGGCCCCACCGAGGCACGAAGGCGCCGTCGGCGAAGGCCAAGGCCAAGGCGGTGCCCATCGGCTTGGCCACGGCGCCGGCGGCCTTGGTGAAGCCCGGGAACTGGGCACAGGCCGACATCGACGGGTGTGGAGGGCAGTGCGGTGAGGGCTACAGAGATCTACGGTAGATGATGAGCGCGAAACTTGGAGGATTCGCGATTTATGCATGAAGATTGGGTGTTTGACATTGATTGACACGTCCAGGAGACGTTACCATTGTGGCTTCCGGGATGGATAGAGGATAAAGATGGATAAAGGCAAGTTGCAATAAGAAGACGAGTAATAGTAAGATTCCTTTAAAATCCCTTAAAGCTACGGTAAACATAAGTTAGGAGTGGAAGATGGAACCATATGTTTTATACACACATTGATAGAACCTTAATGTGGTCTACTTGGAGCATTTGGTGTACCGAAGCGACATGCAAAGCACATTTAGACAACCACGCTGTGTCCCAATCGATGCACATTGCATAAGGAAGCGCATGCGATAGTCCAAAGCCTATTTGGTTCAGATTAGTGCCCAATTTTGCAATTGCTGTATGAAGGTTTTCCACTGGATCACGTCCCTCCGCTTCAGAGGGCCTTTCACCCTCCTTTCCAGCAACACACATGGATGTTTATTTTGTGTTGTTGTTTTTTCCCGGGCCTGGAAAAAACAACATGTGCCTGCTTTCCAAAAAGGCAACCACATACCACAAGACGACATGTGCCCAGTTCAGCTCAAGTTCAGTCCATCCGAATCCGGATCCATCCGACTGGGATGGACCGCCCAGTTCCACCCATCCGGCTGAACGGTGAGCGCTGTTTCACCCGGCCGGAGCCAGGCCTTCGATCCGGTACCACAAGGTGAGGAGTCGGAGTGCGGTCGAGATGAGGTATGGGCGAACGACAAACTCGCATCCTTCCTTCAACCCTTGTTAAACTTACATCAAACTCAAGGCAGGGTTGCATGTTCTTTCCCATCTCTAAATTCTGCCGCTTTTCTTGCATTGAACGTTTTGTTTGGTGCTCATTCCGGTTCAGCATGTGCGTCCCTTTGGTTTGGCCCTTTGGAATTTTGCCAGCCCAGGGCACAGAATGGACCTAGGTGAACGGCATTCCGTCCACCCCAATGGCATGCAAAGGTCCTAGCTAGAAAAGCGCCCCACTCATTGTTCATAGTAAATATATGCAAATATGGGATGGCAGTTTGCTGTACAGCTGTACAACTACTGAATACTGATGAGCAGTGTTTTGTTATGTTTCTCGTGTTGTTTCTGTGAGTGTTTCGGTTGTAATTATGTGGATGAAACATGCAGCTGGCAGAAAATGCCACTCAGCTTTCGCCTGAGAAGATCATGTACATAGTGGGTCTATGAGCGACACAGTACCCGGTACCCTTTCAGCATCCTTGCCCTTCATAAGGGAACACCCAACCCCCTCCCACATGAATATATCTCACAAATAGCGGTCACATATACAGTAATGGTGTGTACCGTTCAATGCAACACACAAACGTTCGACATTGAAGGATTGCACTGCAATGACACCTTATTTTGTTTGGGTGTCTTGCTCATTTATGGATATGGGCCAAACCACCCAGTCCCCCTTGTTGACATTTTGACTGACCGGATGTGCAGACATGGGGTTCGAGGGCGCGGCCCCGAAGTTGGGTTCCAACCCCCTCCCAGACTTCCGCACAAAACACTCACCAAACATCCTCACTTGAGAACAGACAAATCCAAATCATCCAACAACCAGAACATATTTAGAGGCCATTCCTATTAGGGTGGAGGCCTTCCTTTTCGGCCATCGCTACTAGGGTGGATGCCATCGCTATTAGCATCGTTAGCTACTCCGCCAGGCCCCCCCGCTGCCGTCACGCCTCCAGTGCCCATGGTGCAGCACCCAGAGCCATCCGCGAAGTGAAACCGTTGGTCTGACTGAGAGGTCCATTTGCAACAGTTGTGTCCAGAAGATTTGTGAATTATACATATATCACTTGAACTTGCTGATCGGGGCAAGAGCTTGACATATTTGAAGGTCGGCTAGGTGATACGGCTTGAACGTGTTCAGTTTCCTCGCCCATGTCTGATGCATCCTGATGCAATGCTCAAGCATTGCTTAGGGGGCTTAGGGTGGCAGCGCATTGTAATATGTGTACATCAACATCTAAATTCCAAGCGCCCTCCACGTCCTAGGCACGGTCGACGCTGTTACACCATGTCAAGTCACATGAACTAGTAGTTTGATGTATGTTGCATCAACGTCTCTGACACACCTTGGCAATTGTCCATGTCCTGTTGATGATGGATGAATTCTCCTGTGTATACTGTATGTACATATCCAACTATAGTTAAAAGTATAAAGTCTCTCTAAAAGAAATTACGCAATGTTTGGCACTGTAAACAGCAAACAGATCAACAAGAACTTGTTCATTTGGCCATTGGGCCTCGAAGAACCCGCCTCGTTACTCCAGTGCCGAGGCAGTTGGGCATCGCATGCCAGGCTGTTCGGGACGCGACCAGTTTGGGAGGACACCGCGTTCACCACCGAAGCAGTTCTAGGGCGAAAGCATGCCTCAACAAAACCTACTGCAGACTGTTGTAGGTCCATAGCACCCCCCCTGCATGGAGATGTGAAAACCATATTCTGCTAGCGGGGACTTTAGGGATCACGAGTCTACATTGTAATCGATGACACAGATGTTTAGATACTGAAACTAATTTTCTCGATGGGGCGCGGGATGGTTTCTTTGGCCTAAAGATCCTAAGTACTAAGGCCCTCACTTCTTCCTTGTATCACCCTTGGGGTGCAGCCTGTATCCCTCAGTTCCGAGTCAGTTCGAGCGCACGCCAGGTGCCGGCTCTCCAATGCTACCTTATCGTCCGGTCAGCCCACAGGTAAGGGTCAACTGGGGCGGATGACGGATGGGACTGGAGCGGGTCGGGCAGGAAGTTGAAGTGGAGAATGGGCAGCTACAGATGAAACTATAGGTACCATTAGGTACCTAGAGGCTTCTAGGCATGTGGATTTGCTGAATCAAACTTCATGTATATACAATATGTTGTGTTTCAATCTGTGGTGCAAAGGCCTTTTGGAGTGCAGGGTTCACACTTGTTTTTTACTGCGGCAGTTTGTCTGTGGTGATATAAAGCTTTTCTTCCATGCTGGTTCCTCGACGTCCACACAAGGAGGTACCATTCCATACCCGGTACTGGCCAGTTCCTTTGAGCACGAAGTGGCTCTAAGCTCTAAGGATGATCCTGATGAAAGACTTCCCAAGGAGATGAGTTGCATGGTAGATGACTGCTCCCGCTGCTCCAGAATGCTCGGCTTAGAACTTGTTCTGAAAACTTGTTTGTTGGTCCCCGATTTACCATCACGCGAGATTTGCGCTACCACGAGTTTTGAGGGGATATAGAACCCTCAACACCTGTGAGGCCTTGTATCATGATCAGAGTGAGTTCTTTGTATTTGGCTGGTCCTTCTGGTGAGAACTGGATGACTGGTTTGAAGTCCACAGGGCGCGCCGTTGGTTCCATGGGGTTGCCAAGAAATACACATGAATGAGTCTCAGAATAGAGGGAACACTCGAGCCGACCATAATTAGGAGGCCGAAAGAGAACATATCAGATAGAGACAACATCATGTTGCACATGGGAGAGCTTGCCATAATTATGATTCTTGCATCAGTATATATATACATAAGACCCTTATACCGGATCATGGTTGGACCGTCAGTTTAGCGAAACATGTTGGCTACAACCATATCATGTTGCAACATCAGCCTAAATATCCAAAGTACTGTATGGACTGCATGTGGCATATGGTATGCCCCGTCTAAATGCTGAACTCGCAGCTGCTGTCGGCTCGATCAGATCGGCTGTATTCCAGTGCGTCGAGCGTCCAAAGCACCTCAGCGGGGCCCAAAAGTTGGAAACAAAGGTTCACCTGGGGTGAACAAGCCTCAGTAGTGGGGTTTGCAGAATAGGCTATAGCTATAGCACTGTAGCAAGGAAGACAGAGACTACTGTTCGGAAATCTTGGACGTCCATCTGGGTCGTGGAAAACCAGGAGTGGGAGCCCTGCAGTTGCAGTACATGCCATGAGCAAACCATTTTCATATGAGGGAACTCTATACCTACATCTTCGAAAAGGCTGAAATTACGGCCTGAGCTCTAAAATCAGCCTTTTAGCTCTTCGGGCTGAAAATCAGCCTGCGGGCTGAAATTG